AATTTCGTTGTTGTTTAAAAACAACACGTCAGTGGGATATTTGAATTGTCCAGGATCTGTTCCTTCTTTTCCAATTTGTCTTAAACAGTGTCCTTCTTTATTGAACACATAAACACAGTGTCCGTGAGTGTCTACGACAACAATGTCATCTTGCTTGTTGACAGCTATTCCACATGGTCCCTTGAACTCCTGGCTTTCGTTGAACTTCAAGTCCAACTCGCCAAGTATGACAAGTTCACGTTCTTTCACTGGTAAAGTGAATGTGCAGGTTGGAAGCTTTTCGCCATTAATCTTTACCTCAACAATGTAGGCACCGGGCACTTTAGGTGTAAACTTCAAGCTAAGATTGCCGTCTTCTTTTTCTTGAACGGTTACGTTCGTTACATCGTTGGCGGGTTCTACCAGCAACTCAACTTGATCTTTAAGATCAGCCAGGTTAATCGTCACTCCGTCTGCTGCTTTTGGGCATAACGTGAACTCTACTTCTACGCCAGCCTGAAATGTTTGATCCAGTCCTTCAATTTGTGATTGATTCACGACTATCGGAATATCCACGATAACACCCAGTTTCAGGTCCTTTGGAGAAGTAGGGAAAAATTTAACGAATGCAGTCTGGTTATGTGTTGGGGCTTCAACTCTACGAAGCTCTTCAAATTTGTGCTTTAAAGTTTCCTTATTCTGCATGATATCCGAGCTTGAGCTTCTCTGAACCAGGTTCGCCGCAAACACAGCTGCTTGGTTTATTTGTTTTAGCAGGGATTCCACTTCCTGTTTAGCCGCATTTATCCTCTCAAGTCTCGACACGCGTGTTGTTTCCAGGGATTCAATCGCTTCTCGCTCGCGCTGTCGAATATTTGCGATCATTTGTTCGGCTGTTCGCGAGACTTCTCGCTTGGCTGTTGCGAAATTTCTTTCAAGCTCAGAAATCGTTTCTTCGAACTCCTTGATGACTTCACAAAGTTCGGCTTCTTTTTCCTTGACCATCTCAGCGCCAGACGTGATGTTTTCTTTTTCTTCGTGTGCTGCTTTGTCGAGCAAAATGGCGTTGTGGTTTTGATGATCCGTGACTATGCAGATCGGACAAATGGACAGTTGACACTGTGAGCAAAAGAATCTGGCTTTTTCTCTTTCGTGGAACTGTTGTGTGCAGAATGGCTGTCGCTTCAGCAGTGCTTCGTAATCTTCGGCTTTGAAGTCCTTGACTGACGTGACTTTGTGTCCTTGAAAAGACTTCTTAAGCAGTTCGTGTGCTTTGAAACAATCAGGGCACATGAATCGTCCACAATCGAAGCAATAGTACATCTGAGGGTTGGTTACGCTGCATTGATAACAAGTAATATTATCTCCCTCACCACTCTGTCGAACGGCAAGAAGACTCAGCAAACTTTTGTGGTAAAAGCTGTTGGGCAAATGGTCGAAGCGATTGTCGTTTGGTAAATTGATCACAGCCTGACACTCGGGGCATCGATATTTTCCTTGTCTCTGGCTCACTCTTGCATGTCTCGCTAGGCACTCACAACAAAACGTGTGAAGACATGATATAGTTTTACGTTCGGTGTAAGTGTCGAGACAGATCGAGCAAGTAACTTGCTTCTTGAGATCTATCAAAAGGGACTCCATATTCAAAGCGAAACAAACTAGACTCTTGGGAGACACCCAAGGCAATAGATTGAATGCAGATATTATTTCAGGTTTCCGAGGAACAGAACAAAGTCCGTGTCAACTGATTGGCACTGGCCAATCAAATTCTTGGCTCTGCTGATTTTTTTTATTCTGTAAAAATAACTTTGAATTATTTTTCAGTGTCACGGTTTGCCAATTTAACAAATTTCCCCTCAACCTTTTTGGATCCTCGTTCAGTTTGCACCCTACTTTAATCTTCTTCACAAGACTGATTAATATCGGGACCTAAACGATCCATTAAGATCACCGATCACTTNATCAGTAGCTATCCTTGTTCATTCATTGCTTTTACCACTTCATTGTTTTCCTATCTTCTCGAATCTTTTTCCCTTAGAATCCTTTAAGGTGAAGGTAATATGTCACGTCATAGGTATGACTCCCAATCTGGTGACTGAGAAGCTCCTTTACGACAATCGTCCTCAGAGAAACTCTTACCTTCCTTCCGTACCTGTTTTTGTAGTAAAATGAAAATCGCAACATTTTCTAAAAATAGATCATTGTTTCTATATTATTTTGGGGGCTGATTGGAAAAGACAAAAAGAAAAGCAGAAGCAGTGCCGGTAATGTTTGTTGCAAATTCCATGCGTGAAGAAACAAAGTCACGGTTTGTTCATCTTCAGGAACTCAGCCTAAATTATTCAAGTTCCTTTCCGGTAATCTGTTTTGATTTTGTCCTTTTAAAGTTTCTATTTGGCAAGTCACCTCGTCAAGGTATTATTCAAGTAGGAAGTTAGTCTCTTCTTAGCTGTCTTGCCATTTTTTATGTCATAATTAGGCGAGGGAACGCGAGGGGAGCGCGCATGAGCGACCGCGTGCGGGAGAAAAAGAAAACAAATTACCTCTCAAACTCCCTTGCGTACGCGATCGTCAAATTATATTGCAAGGCTCCCATTCCCCTCACGCTCTGGGGGGAGATTTAATGTAAAGGGGAAAAATTGTGAAGGGTCTAGGAAAGAAAAGTTCGTCTTGATCTCATTTTCGTTAATAAATCTCGTTTTTCAAAAACTGATATTTCAGTTCTTTGAGCCAGGCGATATGTTATGGAAAAATGTGTAAAAAGTTTTCCTTCACACCACCAAAGAATAGTTTTGAAGGGAAAATCTGTCGAGGAAAACGTGATAGTGAAAGTGCTGCTTCAGTTTACGTTTTGTCCAAGCGAGCATATTCAACTTTTATTTAACCTTTTTTTTCGTTTTATTTACCAGGAAGTGAAAACAAATCCTAGTAATTACGAAGCGTGATTTGATTATCTTCGTCTGATGGAAAGCGAGACAGATCTTTATTCAAGCTTATGCAGGGAGAGAAGTTTACGAAAGAGCAATCGCCAATATTTCGCCCACTGAGCAGAAACGTTCATGGAGACGATGCATTTACCTGTGGATCAATTCTGCGCTGTATGAAGAACTTCCGGCGAAGGTAAGTTATATTTTTGCAGCTGTCGGCCTGCGCAGATGTACGTTAAGCCTGCAAAAGAGACTGACTCGCATAAATTGTTAAGCTTAACCCCGGTTCTGCTACAGACGTAGGTAAAGTTTTCATAAAGAGACTGGCTTGCATAACTTGTTAAGCTTAAACCGGACTTTGCTACGTCTAGCGAGTAGTGAGTTAATTCTTTTTCCGGGGTTTACCTTGAGCCTGTTCGATTTTGCAAATTTACATCCCAATATATTTTGTGGCTGATGATATATGGGTTGCAGAGGGCAAACTCACTGCCTCAATTGTAAACAAGGGAAGGATATTTTACATTCTTTTCAATGATAGCGAGAGTGAGAAACTCAAAACGAATATTGTTCAGTAATTCCCTTTGTCTGTATTCGGCAAAGCCTCGTTGTGAAGTTGACTTTTTACAGGTCGTATTAGGGCCAACTCAAGAGAAACATCCGATTATACAATTATTGTACAAACCACATTATTTTGACTTTTTCGAAAGTGGTTTTCCGGTTTCAGTTGTTCTTGTTTCACTTTCGGTTTGTGGACGAGAAGTTTGTGTAGGGGTGAAATTTCGGCAAATAAAAATTAGGCGAAACTTTAAGCAAATCATTCAAGTTTGGGACTTAACTATGAAGTTTAGTGTTATAGTATGTAGTTTGAATTTTAAATATCTTAGCGTACGTGATATGTATTTTTATGGGCTGATGAATTGATCGTGTTTAAATAAAGATTACAAATAAAGATTACATTAAGTCTTTAAGGCGAGGAAAATCTAATGGATCATTTTAATCCTTAAAATGCAAAGTTTAAAGTGCAAGTTTATTTTTTAACGGCTACTTACGTTTTCAGTGTTGCTACCGGTTCTAGATAAATATTGATTCACTGATTGATTTTTTTTTCATAGATTTCCTGTTATCTCTTGGATTTGAATTTACCGATGGAAAGGAGATGGGATGGTGAGCTTTTCTATCGTCCTTAGGTTTCACTGGTGGATTTCAACAACAAAACCACAATGACAGAAAGAGAGACGTTGTCGCCAAAGACGCAACGCCGTGACGGTATTTACGAGGGAAGATCTTTTAAAATCCAACAACTTTAAGTCGCTTAAACATGCACTCGGCGAGAAGAGGGTCGAGGGCATCCGAAGATTGGCTTCTGCGGAAAAAAAATTTTCGTGCAATTGTTCAAAGTTATCAATAAAGGCTGATAGTTTCTAAAGAAACTGTTTGGCGCAGCGTCGGTGGGGGTAACGAAATAATTTGAATATATCAACAAAGTTGAAATGGTAAATTGGCCACCGTTACGTTATAAAAGCTGACGTTTCGAGCGTTAGCCCTTCGTCGGAGCGAATAGAGAAATTGTTGGTTGTGTGTGCTTTTAAAGGCAGAAAATGGAGCTACGTGATTGGTGGGAACATAGCAACGAGAAAAACAGGA